CAGCTCCAAACCCCGTGCCCTGTCATTAGTTTTGGGGTGTCAGGATGGCTGGAGGGAGGGTTATTTACAGCTGCCAGCATGGGAATATTCTCCTTAGGGAAGAGACTGGGAGTTTTTTCCCATTTTACACCTCATTCCCTCCCCGGATGGCAGCACCGAACTGACCTGCTGGCAACGGGCAAAGATTTCCTCTTCCCAGGTTGATAAACACAACCCTCTGACTCTTCCCACAGGAGAACCTGCTGCTGTCCAGCATGGGGAGCCAGTGGAGCCTCTGGTTTGGCTCCTCAGTGCTGTCTGTGGTTGAGATGTTCGAGCTGCTCATCGACACCCTGGTCCTGTCTCTCCTCTTCTGCTACCAAAGGCTCAGGTCCAAGAAGACCCTGAGAGTGGCTCACACTGCCACTGTCCCCAGCGTGAGCCTGGCCCTGGAGAACTACAGAGTTGTGCAGGAAGAGGCTGGGAAAGGGGAGGATTCTGCTCAGGGTCCCCCCTCTGGGGTGGCTGTTGCCAGGGCCAGCAGTGGGGACCTGCACCTTCACCCTCCCTCCAGCAAGGTGGGAATGGCTGAGAGCTGCCCTGAGGTGGTGCTGGGGGGGTTTAGGGCCACACAGGACAGCAGTTTGGGAGGGGAACTGAAGAGCTGAGGGGGTGTCTGTGTGCCTGGAGAAGTGGGAGACTGGGAACTCCTCTGCTGCTGCCAGGAAGGTGCCAAACAGAGTCATCCTGGATCCACGGCCTGGGAGAGCCTCCACACCTCCCTGAGCCTGGAAATCCTCCTCCAGCTGCTGCAGGTTCCCTGCTAACCCATCCACGTGTCCTGGAGCCAGGGTTAGTGGATCCTGAGGAGCCTCTGGGGAGGGCAGAGCTGCACTTCTGCTCTTGGGACAGTCCTTGAGTTGCCTCACAAAAGCCTGTTCACAACTCCTCATTTATGAACCCCTGTGAGGAAACCAGCCTGTGGCTTCAGGCAGGCCCATCTACATTTCACAGACGTGCTCCAGCCTGGCTGTTCATGGAAAGAATTCCAGTGGAGGCCAAGGATTGCCTGGTCCAGTGGAAGGTGCCCCTGCCCGTGGCAGGGGGTTGGAAGGAGATGAGCTTTGAGGTCCCTTCCAACCTAAACCATTCCATGATTCCATGATTCACATCCAGGGGTGTCACGAGGACGACAGAGCTTGTAACAGGCTCTGATTCCAGCTTGGCTTCCAAGACACCCCTTGTCCTGAGCCTGTTCCTGTTGCATTTTGAGGCCAAGGCACAGGATGCTGCTGCTGAGATGCTTTTAGACTCACCCCAGATGATTTCAAACGAGACTGGCTCTCCCTCAGAGGGCAAAGGAAGAGAAGAAATGGGGTTGATACCTTTGTCAGGTGAAAAAGCATCTGATTTCTGTAGAAGGTTAAACAGTGCTGCGTTTTTGTTGCAGTCCATTTATAAACAGAGATGGTTTCATGTTAATATTTGACAGTAACTTATATGTACATAACATAACACGTTTATTTTTGATGCTGACGTTTGCACAGGAGCATTTTACTCTGTTATAACCTTGTTTGTGACTTTCTGCAGAAAATGAGAGTTAACAAGAAATCCACGAGCTTTGTTTTGTAACTTTTTTTAAAGAATAAAATGCTCTGACTACAGACTGTGACTGAGGGTTTAGTTTGACTTTGTTTTGCCTTCAATTGATATTTGGGGTCCTTGTTGCCTAATTGTTATTTCTGGAAACATCTTCTTCAAAAGGTCCAGAAGCTTAAATTTATAAGGGCCAAATCATGGGAAGAATTTTGCTTCCAGACAGGGAGGTGGAATCCTCCCAGCCAAGTACCAACATGGTTTTGAAAGCCTCAGTTTTGCTTGATTTGCTTAATACTGGTCTCAGTGTGCTAGAAAAATCACTGCATCTTGTAACATAATTTCCAGAAGGAGCCAAGTCTGGGAGAAAGGATCAAATCCTCTGTCCAAAGGTCCCAGCAGGACCAGAGATCAAGTGGTGACATCTCGTCTCGTGGTCAGATTTGGCACAGGAGGGATGTGCCAACACAGAAGACAGGGATGGGGAAAAATCTGCTTCCCACCTGCTGGTGCCACCTTTAGTAGGATCAAATGGTTTCTGTGGGAGCCCAGGAACAGGGATCAGGTGTGGAGGGAGCTCAGCTCACTCTCTGCTGAGGGTGGGGACCAATTTTCAGCTTAGCAGGTTCCTCTTTATTACAGAACATCCCTCAGCCCTGCTGCAGTTGGGAAATCACCTCCCAAATTCTGCATTGGGGTCATTCTCTGTGCCTGTGATGTCAGTGCTGAAATATGTGAAGCTCTCACACCTGAGCTGGGCTTTGCCAAAAAATCAAGGCCCAAAAGGGGCCTCAGAATCACACGAGCACATTTTATTCATATGACATATTCAAATCACATATTTATTCACATGACTGTGAGTAAATCCAGCTCCCTGCTCCAGTGCCAGGCTGGGCTCTGCTGGCCCCCAGAGCTTGTTGCTGGAGCAGAACAAGCTGCTGAAGGGCACCAGCAGATAATAACAGCCCTCTGGGACAGCAGAGCCACAGAGTTCAGGTGTCCCAGCAACGATTCCACGACGAATCTCCCCGTGCAGGAATGGTTCTTATGCTGCAATTCTGGGGGTAATTAGGCACCAGCATCCCAGCAGTGACATCTTTGCTTCCCCAGCTGCTGCTTGACCCTTCTGAGGCAATTTTGGAGCTGCTGAGCTCATTTTTACCTGGGGGTGAACCCACGTAGCCACAGGGGGAGAGATAAGTGAAGGATCCCAGGTATTCAGTGAAGACCTTTAGTCTTTCAGGCAGAGCTCCTGTGGCCCTTGTTTGACACAGGCAAGCAGTGTCACTGTCACCCACAGGCAGCAGGACAGAGAGCTGCTGTCAGGAGCTGATCATGTTGATAAAATCATGAAAATATCCCTTGTGAGGTCACCAGTAGAACATTTGTCCTGGCACCACTGAGCTAAAACCCCAGTGACAAGAACCCTCCTGCTGTGGCAAAGTCCTCAGTCCCAGACTTTGCAAGATATTTGAGCATTTAATCCTCATTAACTAAAGGAAAAGAGTCTTTTGGAGAGCTGGGCTTCTGCAGTCACATTTCAGTCTTGACTGTGTTTATCCTTGGGAAGTTGTGTGAGGTTTTTTTAGCCAGGAAATAGTCAGGGAGGGGCAGTGGGAGTCAGTGAGAGGGTGGGAGCAAGCCAAGTGTCTCCCAAACCACATACTTATAAATTTACTGGAATATCACACAGCTCTCCTTCCATAAATGCCTTAAAAATTACTGTAATGCTCCTATTTAATTCCTATTTAACTCCTCCACTGAGTTAATGACTCTACCTGGATTCATTAATTGGGATCTATTTGTCCCTCCAGAGGAAAACAGAATTTATCCCACAATTTCCCTTTCTCCATTTGTTTTCCACACTGGGCAGGACAGAAATCACGAGGCCAGGCCAGTCTTGTCTTTTTTATTTTATTTGTCCTTCTTATTTTATTTTTTTCTGCCACAGACACACGGGATGGGAGAGCCCAAGGAGGGGGGAAAGGGTGGTCCATGTGCAGAAGGGACATTTCCATGGAGTGCAAGGTCTCCTGGGACAGAGTCAGGATCAAGGATTAACTGATTCAGGAATTCAGGAAGCACCAGTGGGTGGGTTGGGGCAGGGGGGTGACCTGAGCCCTGTCAACCTTTACCCCAAAGCAGCCTGAAATCCCATCCTCACAAGACAAGAGTCACAGAAACCCAAACCAGAAATGCAGAGTATTCGTGTGGCATTCCAGGCTACTCAGCTGCCACACAGCTCAGCCCGTGGGCTGCAGAGGGAAAGGGAAACAGGTTAAAAGGGGGTTTTCCAGCTCCAGTTAATACAGGCAGCAAGGCAAGAAACCCTACATCAATAAATCGAGCAAAGGAGGAGGAGGAGGGAAGGAGTTTATCTAGATTTTTATTGACAGTGCTTCAAGAGACCATAGAAGAGAAGGGAAAGGAGGAAGGGGGGGAAAAAAGGCAGACACCACAGCAACAGTTTTAAAATTGTACAAAGATAATAACATAGAGAATATCTGGTTCCATGGTTACAGTTCAGTACAGGCTGTGTAGGGAAAGGGAGGGGGGATTAAAAAACCTGTTACAAAGTCGTACCGAAAGCAGGCAAGTGAAGGGAGGAGGTTAATAAGGTTACAGCTTTATTTACAGCAAGTGGCACAGCCCCGGGGCCACCAACCACTCTGAGCAGCTCTGGCCTGGCTACAGGACTCCTTTGTCCCTCCAGGACTCCTTTGTCCCTGTGCTGTTGGGAGAGGAAGGTTTGGGAGCCCCGGGAAGGGGTTGCCAGGAGGGCGACCCTGCGGAAGGAAAGGCTGGAGCAATTCCCGGGATCCAGCACCCCCAGGGCGGGGAATCCACACCAACACTGCGTGCTGTGGGAGGGGTGGAAGTCAACTGAGAGGGCCACAGGGCCATGGACAACCTGAGGGATGCCACGGGTCACTCCCAGGGGTCACCTATGGGAGCAGGAGGACACGGAACCCAAACGTGCTCTGTCCTGGCCCCCGCGGGGAGGAAGGTGCTCAGTGCTGGGTTTGTGGAGAAAATGCTCCTGCTCCAGAAATCCTCTCTGCCCATCCCAATTGCTGCACTGGGAGCACTCGTGGTCCTCCTCCTGCCTTGGGAATTCCCCTGGCTCCAACCCTTTGGCTCCTCATTCCCTCCCCACAACCCTTCTCTGTCCTGTCATCCCTCCAGCACAGCTCAGGACGGGTGTGACCCCAGCCCAAATTCCCAGCAGGGTGTGACCCCAGCCCAAATTCCCAGCAGGCAGACTGCTGTGAGCCCTGTTCCTATGGAAACAGCACTCCTATATCTTGGAATCTCAAAACAAACAAACAAACAAACAAACAAACCCACCCCAAAAACGTGTTTGTCCAGAACTCCCCCTCTCCCCTCTGCTGCTCAGTCCCTCCTTCCCACGCCCCCCTCTCCATGTGACAGCACCACACTCACCCACATTTCACAGGGGTGTTTGTCACCAGCTAAGCCACGGTTGAATGTCACCTTTCAGCCTGTTTTGTCTTTGGTTGAAAGCAAGAATGCTCGGGCAGTGAGGGGACACGTGGGCTGGGGGCAGCCCAGGGGCCTGGCAGGGACCAGCCACGTCGTGGCCACTGGACAGGGAGTTCATCAGTGCATTTCTTTAGGAGGTCCTGGGGGGTTTTGTCTTGCATAAATAACGGCCAGTTTTGCTGCTCTGAGATGTGACTGATCCAGTTCTTCAAAAAATCATCTGTTCAACTCTCTCTTCAAACCTGCAGGATCATCCACTCCATGACCTCAGAGGTCTCTTCCAACCTCAGTGATTTTATTTTACACTCATCACAGCCTCAGCTTCTCCTATTTTTATTTTTTTATTTTTTTTTGTTAAAGACATTCTTTAAATGCCTTTAAATTCTTCCAATTCCAGTTTTTCCTCCCTCACTCCCCACTGCAGGGACCATCTCAGAGACAGCAATATTAAAATAACCTGAGGCTTCCCTGGATGAGAAGGGAACACAAGAGGGGATCGTTTCAACTTGCCAGCACACCCCTGAACTCATCCCACCTGGAATCAGGGACGGGTGTGGCAAGACCCCAAAGATTCAAACCTACCTGTCCAGGCACTTGGTTAAAGGGTTGGGTCAAATAAAAGCGAGGACAGGTAGAGAAATATTCACCCAGATGGTCAAAAAACTCAAAGGATGAAGGATCCATGTGATGGTTTGGGCAATGCCTGGCACGTTGCTTTCTAGACAAAGGCAAATCTCCTTGTGTTTATCTGTGGTTGCACCCAAGTCACCGTCAGAGAGAGAAAACAAACCTGCCCTCTTTGAAAAGAAACAAGAGTGGGGGGGAAAAAAGAGCAATTCTGGCATTGAAATGTCTCAAAACAACAGAAATCCAGCTGGTTTGGAAGCAGGGAAACAAGAAAATACTGGATTTCTGGTTTCCCTGGAGCCTGGTGAGCCGTTTCCTTCGCTGAAAGCAAAATTTTCTGTCCAGCTTCCCCACTCTCCCCTGCAAACTTTGAAAGGCACACACACACACACACACACACACACCCCCCAAGCCAAAAAATAAAAAAAAACCAAATCAAAGAAACACAGAAAACATCGAGAAGTGCCTCCTTAACGTGTTTTTTTTTACCTGGAGAACTTAATTTTGTTTTGGAAACTGCGGGATGTACTCGAGTGTTGGGTTTATATTTCGAATTTGAGGCATTTAATGCCTCATGATCTGTATAATGAAAACAGAAGAGAAAGGGGAGGAAGGGGAAGGGGAAAAGAAAGGAGAATTTTGGGGGGGAGGAGGGGAAAAAAGGCAGGTTTTGAAAAATATTCCCTAACAATGCTACAAAAAAAAAATCCTGACATTAAATACAGACCAACTGTATTGAATAAAAATTGCACTAGTCCTCTGGGCACATCAATAATAAATTAAATACTTAACAATTTCACTGATTAAAAAAGACAGCACAAAACCCATAACAAAAGAACATAAAACCCCCCAATACTGTAATGTAGGAAAAGTGCACAAAGTTGCTTTATACATTGAATCTAAATAAAGTACCAATACATGTTAAATAGATAAATTGTCTTGCAGGACACTGCTTTTTGCATCAGTATTTACATTTTGCTTTAACTTCATGTACTTCAGCAGTGAGTCTGAGCTTCAAAGGACCGAACTGTACATGATTTTTTGGATGTTCCCATGAAATAAAAACGACCCAAAGTGGAAGCCACAGTTCTCCTGGGCTTACAGAAAGGATCAGTTTTGTATTTCTATAACTTCTCCTAAAAAGCTGGGGAAAAACCCCGATTGGGGTGTTTTAAGTCGCTGTGCATGTAAAAAAAAAAAACAACCCATTGCTGGAACAAAGATCCATGAACAGAGCAAGGACCATGGCAGTGGTGGAACAGTTATTTCACTCTGGAGATCTTTGAGGTACCCTGAAGGATGCCAGCTCGGATTCAGCGTGGGAAGGGCACGACTTGAGGGCACATCAGCACCAAAAAACAAAGTCTGGATCGATGCAGGTCAGTATAAAACAGGATAGAGCTGGAGAGAGGATTCACTGCAGGGAATCTCTCAGCTCCTACCCCAGCAGCAGAGCGAGCTCGTGGCTGGGTGAGGGTTGTGGAGAGCACTCCAAGTGCTCAGGGGGATGGCAGGATGTCACCCTGAGCATGGCACAGCCCTGAAGGGCACTGCTGGGTTGGGGACAGGCTCAGCACCACTGGCCACCGGCAGCCAAGCCCAGCCCAGGACAGGGAGGGCTGCAGGGCTTTGCTCCCCCGTGATTTCCAGCCTGCAGGTTTGCTCCTGGCCACACTCAGACTGAACTGCAGCACCTCCAGCAGCTGCAGAGCAAAGGGGTGCAGCTGCCAGGGAAGGGAGGGACACACGAGTGAAGGCACCACCCTGCTCGGGAGGGGGAAAAATAATTGGAACTTGAGGTGGTTTGGATCAGAAAGAAGCCAAATCCCAATGCAAATGAGTGAAAGATGAAGCTCCTCGAGCATGGAAAGTGGTAACCTCTGGATCCTGCACGAGAAACACAGAGGGAAGAGATGCTACACCTTCCCACGGGGGGCAGGAGGATGTTTAACCCAGGGCATGGGCAGTGCCAGCTGAGGGGGACCAAGAAGTGGCACTGCCACACACGGGGCATGTCTGCCTGCCTTTGGCATCACTCCCCCAGCTCCTGCCTGCAGTGAGCCCTCTCCATCCAGGGGTGACTCCAGAGTCAAGTCCCTGCTCCCAGCTGTCCCCTGAACCGGGGATTTACACATCCCAGCTCCTCTGAAGTGCAGCAAGGATGGCATTTTGTGCCACGCTGCTCTATCCCACACGTGGTCCTGAGTCACTCCTGAGGGTGCCAGAGCTGGGCAGAGGATGAACAGACCAAAGGATCTGCCCTCTGCCAGCTGCAGGGCCTGTCCTACAGCTTTCACTCAGGGAAAAGTTCAGAGGGAGCACTGCCTGCTCCAAGACCACAGGATAGTTTCAGACCAGGCACTGAGCAGCTAAGAAGGGAGAATTTTCATTTTCCAAGACTGCTGGAAGGAGATTGTTCCTTATTTCAGGAATCATGAAAGGCCCTGGGGGCAGATTTTGCACTGCAGAGCCCCCAGGACCATTCCAGATTCAGACACTGGGATCAGAACTGAGCCCTTGGGACTCATCCCAAAGCTCCAACAGGAATGAGAAAGCAACAGGACAAAGATATGGACCTCCAGATCCAGATTGCACAGCCAGGAAACTGCTCTGGCTGCAGGAAAACTTGGGACAGCACTTTCCTAAGGAAGCAGGGACTGTCCCTTGAACTGAGAGGACCCTACAAGAGACTGAGTGGAGTTTATTGATCCACTTGCAGCTCTGTGGGTGGACACTGAGTGCTGCTGGTTCAGTCTCTGAGGGCACATTTAGAGCAACAGCAACAAAACCTACAAAGGTTTCCCCCCCAGCAAGGGGTTTGAGCCACTGAGGGGTGAGCAGAGCAGCAGCCAGGCTGCAAAAACTGTGAAGTCAAACGTGCAGTGGATGAGAAATAAGATGATTTTGTATCACTGCTGATGGAATGCAGGAGGACGGGGAAGTCTGCCTGGGATTCTTGCTTTTCTCGCAAGCTCCTGATCCCCTCAAAATCCCAGGACAATCCATAAGGCACTATGGCCTGACCCCAGAGCCAGCAGCCTCGGTGCCCAGGCAGGGGACTGTCACCCACAAGTCCTGACAAACTCTGATGCCAATTGTGGTTGGGGGACGTTGGGAAGAGGCTCTTCCAGCAGCACAGCTCAGCTCCCAGCCAGAGGACACCAGTGGTACCTGTGCTCTGCCAGCCCTCCCAAGACAGGATGACAGAGCTCCAGCAGCTCTGCAGAGACACAGACCATCAACACAGCAACAAAGTGCTCTGAGCAGATCCACATTCCCTCACTCCAGCCAAGAATAACACGAGGAAAAGGAAAGGAACACCGAGAAGATTCTGCTGGTCACCAGAACCGGGGAACTCCAGAGCCCCTGGGCCAGCTGCTGAGACGCTCCGGCATGCAGGGGGTGAGCACAGAGGGAACACATGCAAGTGGAATTCTCCTTCCCAGGGGTGCTGTCAGAAAATCTGAGGTGACCAGGACACAAACTGAGCTGAAGTCCAACTGCAGGCGCGGCCGTGGCGGGGGCTGGATGTGGCTTCTCTTCCCTGACACAAAGCCCATCGCCGGCGACAAGCTTCTCCCGGCCTCCAAAAAATCAGCACTGCTGCTTCCACAACACTGTGCACTTTGCATCTTGGCCCAGGAAGCAGGGAGCTATGGCTTTGACCAGCTAAACCACTGAGGGCAAAAAAAAACCAATAAGGGGAGGGTGGCTGGTTTAGTCCTGAGAGCAATGAAGGTGAGGAGCCGTCACTCTCAGCCCTACCCCCTCTGTGCCTTCTGGAGCAAAACGTCTCTGCCCCACAGAGCAGCCTGTTCCTGACTCAGAGGTCATCTCTGAAGTTTTCTAAACTGCTGGTCACGCTGCCAGGACCCAGAGCTCCACGCCAGGATCCCTCCCAAGCCAACTCTTCAGACAAGAACTCAGCGCCCTGAGGCAGAGACGGCTTCGTCTGATCGTGTTCTTGGTGGGTTTCTCCTGATAAGAGAAGGTTTCCTTTTCCTTTTCTCTTTTCTTCTCTTTTTTTGTTTTTGTTTTTTTTTTCCTCTTTTTTTTTTTTTGTCTCCTTTTATTTTTAATGCTAAACTCTCCTCCCACACTTCTCACACACTCAAGTCCACGTGCCACGGTCTGTAGTCATGCCCTGGGAGTCTCCTACACAAAAAACCAACCATCCAGTAGTCAAGCATGAGAACTTAATGCTTAACAGGAAAAGACCCCCTTGTCCTTCCTGTGTGCAGCTCAACCTATATGTGCAGGCATCAAAAACAGACCAATCTGCAAGGAACACCAATATACCAAGGATGGGGCTTCTCAGGGCTTCTGGAAAACTTCAGCCCAACTTCAAGACAGCAGAGGGGACACGGGGGAGTTGTCACTAACACTCGTCTATATTAAGGCTGATGAACTCCTGTATGCACTTCCTGTACTGCAGCTCAGTGGGGCTGTTGCTGGGATACTGCCCTGGTTGTCCAAAGGGACCCTCTGCTTCCCGCATTTCCTCGTTCATCCGAGCCAGACGCAGCCTGGAGTGGGACAGAGAGAGCACAAGCAGAGAGAGGTTTGGTTATTCCTTCCCTGGTGGCACTGTTCCTGATCCCAGCTCAACCATGACCTCTTTTCAAGGTGAATATGAAATAATTTAAAGCAGGGAACTAAAATATCACATTTTTTCGAAGGCCCAGTGCTGTGTCCTTTGCACACCCTATTGGGAGTAAACAAGATAATTTAACTGAGGAGATGCACTGAAGCAAAAAAGCTTAACACATCCAGTAGTTTCAGTTTCCAAAAAATGCCAAAATTCACACAGATTCACTGGTGGTATTTTCAGGGGGTATGATTAATTCTAGTGTATTCCTCTTAAGAAAGATTATGCTATATTTTCCAGCATATTCTTTCTGATTGTGCATTGAAATGTGTCCCAGTGACCCTCAGGTTTCTGACAGACCCATTTCTCTCACAGCCAGAGGTCAAAATTTATTGAGGGCTCAGGAGAGTGCAGTGCTGTGTACTGGGAGAACCAGCAAACAGAACCAGAAGCAGTTCTGGGGCCACTCTAAAGCTTCAGCTGACAGTGAAAAGGCCCTGGAACACCAGAGTTATCTCAATCTGTGGGTCCCACTCCAGAGGGGCCGCGGGGGAGCGACACAAGGCTCTGAAAGTGGCACAGTTTGCCCTCTGAACTCGCTGTACAGCATCCTAAAGACTCCAAAGGAAAAACCAGGGATGAGCCAACAGTGGGTTGGTGTTTTGAGTGCCAGGCTAGTTGGCTCTGTGGGCAGTGGCAGCCCTGGCAGCACTCACAGGGTGACGATGTCTGCGTTGGCCGCCTGCACCGCGATGCTCAGCGGGTCCTGCCCGTCGCCGTCCACCGCGTGCTGGTTGGCCCCTCTCTTCAGGAACAGGCACACCTGGCTGCAGGAGGGACAGGAAGGGACCATCAGAGCAGAAATTCCAGCTCCCCCACCCCTCAAAGGTGCGGGCAGAGCACGCTGTCCTTCCACAGGCAGGCACAGCTTCGCTTGGGCTGGTTTGAATCAGGAAACGCCGCCGTGGCACGGAGAGAGGAGTGGGTGTGCAGGGACACAGCTACCCCCTGTCCATCATCAGGGAGGCAATTATCCATTGGATAATCCTGGGGCAGCCACAGCTTCTCTGGGCAACCTGTGCCAGGGCCTGCCCACCCTCACAGGGAACAGTTTCTTCCTGATATCTCATCTAACCCTCCCCTCTGTCAGGGTTCCCGTTGCTGATATGATATAAAAGGCACGCTTTGCAAACCACCAATTCCCCAAAAACCAGCTCCTGCGCCCACCTCACCCCTGGCTCTTGGTGTTAACGCTGGCTCCTGATCCCAAGGGGATGGAGAACGTCCCAGGAAGGTGCAGAGCACTCACCCAGTGTGCCCCAGGTACGTGGCGTGGTGCAGGGGGGCCCGGCCTCGGCTGTCTCTTTGGTTCACATCTGCCCCGTTCTGCAGCAGGAATTCACAGGCTATCAAGGAGCCCTGGCAAGGAAAAGAGGAATTTTTGCATATATCCCAGCCAGGAGCACTGGGAGGATGCACAAGGACATACCAGGCCGTGGTCAGTGCACTCCAAACTAGAGCCAGGACCTCACAACGTACCCCCTTCACAGCTTGAATCAGAGGAGTTTTGTTCTCATCCTCGTCGTTCACCCAGTTGATCTCAGCACCGTGGGCGAGTGCTTCTGCCATGAGGGGCAGATTTCGGGCTTGTGCTGCCTTGTAGATCAACAAGCCAGGGTGCAGCTCCCTCAGGTCCTCCAAGTCAGATGCCTCCTGTTCAATCTCTGCCTCCCCGCTGGACTCCTCGGACACCTCGCACTCTGAGAGGCAGGAAAGGATGGAGAGAGATGAGCCAAAAAGCTTCACACTTCCAATTTCTCATGTTCCCTGTTGTTCCTGACACCAGACAGCCCCGACATCCATCCTGCCTTAGCTGCCACCCCAGTTCCCTCTGTGACACCTGATGCCTAAAAGCAGAAAAATAATTACCTGGACTATTTTTGAGAATTAAAAGCCAAATTGGAGAATTAGCTGCAACACCGAAGGGCACACAAAAATATTTTGCCCACACTGATTGCACAGAAGACATGCTTTTACAGTTTTATGCCATCATCTGATTACAATATTCAGAATCTGATTATAATATTTGGACTTCACCTCAACTGTTACACCCACTTCCAAAACCGTCCCTCCCATAGCACCAACCTCACCCCACCTCTCAAATTTGAGCCGCTGGTCCCAAAAGGACCATCTCTTCACCTTCTTTGTCTTCCTCCTCTTCTCCTCTGGCCCTTCTGGAATGGTTTAAAAGGTCTGACTACTTGTCTCAAGGGTTCTGTCCCTCACACCCACCTTCCTCTGTCACGCTGTCCACCACGGAGCCGAACACCAGGATGTCGGTGCTGCCGTCGGTGCTCCCGCCCAGCCCGCTGTCACTGCTCAGACCTGCAGGGCCAACAGAACACAAACCAAGCCCATTTTAATACCCAGGGCCCTCCAGAACCCGGCCCAGCCGAGACCACGGCGGGGGGACGGGGCTGTGCAGGCCGTCACACGCACGAGGGACGGGGCACTGCTCTCCCACTCAGCCCCCCGAGGAGAAACTGCAAAGCCTTATGGTGTCCGTGTGTCCCCTTCATGCAGGGATGCTCCAGCACTGCCCTGGCACTTTGGGCTGCTGAGGGCTGCAATCCATGAGGGACGCCGTGACGGAGGCTGGAGCGGAGCAGCAGCAGAGACAGCTTTGCTTTGCAGCAGGTTTTGGGGGGTGTCACCAGCAAACAAAGACACCCCTGTGCTTTCACCACTGGGCAGCTCGGTGTCACCACTGGGCAGCTCGGTGTCCACTCTATCCCTGCTCTCCCCAGAGCTTTGCACTTGTCACTGGGGCACTTCCTTTGATTGGCCATGGCTGGGCCAAACTGCATCAGCCGTGGGATGTGTATCCTGGGCAAACTCTTAAAGCATCTTCCACCTTCCCTTTGCCCACAGTGCTTCCCAAATTCCCTGCTTAGCCAGTGAATGTTACAAGAATAGCTGACTGCATCCCAGAAATGGAGTCGGGAATTGTTGAATCGTGGAATGGTTTGGGGTTGGAAGGGACCTTAAAGCTCATCAGTCCCACCCCCTTCCACTAGCCCAGGTTGCTCCAAGCCCCATCCAGCCTGGCCTTGGACAATCCCAGGGATGGAAGTGAAGAGATGAAGCAACTTGGCCAAGGACACACAATGTGTCAGTGGCAGAGAAACTTTCTCCCTTTCCCAGCTCACACCCAAAAGCAGCCAAGAAAACAACAGGAAGGAAGGAAGAAGCACATCCAAGAATTGCTCCTGCAGGAAAAGGGATGGCACATCACCTTTGTCCTGAGGGATGCCTGGCCAACTTTGGGAATTCTGCCTGGATTCACCTTCTTGCTGCTTTTAACTTCCTGGACTGGGAGTGTCTGTCCTCCAAAAACTCCAGAGGTTAAATTCCCATGATCTACCCCAAGACCTACCACTGTGATTTAGGAAGGAAAACAAGGCAGGATTGTGGCTGACAAAGTGTTTCTAAAACAGCTGAGTGGTCTGTGCAAAGAGTAAGAGCAGGGAAGGCTGCAAGAACTACAGATCTGAGCCTTGAAAACCACGGCAGAACAAGGCACCTGAACCTTAAAGGCTCCTGAACTCCCCAGAGCAGCTACAGCAAAGTCCCAGATAAAGAAAGCGGTCCTGAAATCGTGGATCACGAGGAATCCTTCAGCTCTGTCCAAGTGCCAAAGGAGATAAGGAAGCCACAACAGGAAGGGTTTAAAATGGCACATATCACACGTTATCTTTTTTTGGATTTGCTGTCAGAGAAGTGACTGCAGTTTTTAGCAGGAAAAGCAAACACTGCCTGGTGAGAGCATGCTCTCACCCTGGGACTGCGAGGGAAGTGTGGCTCCAGCAGGGCCACGTGGCTCCAGATTTGCAGCAAGGCAAGAAAGGAGGATCTGGCTCATCTCCCATGGATATTAATACATCAAATTCCCAGTTCTGTTCCCACTGAATCGGTGATAAAATTGCTATTTTTTTCTACGAGAGCAAGATAAGGCTGTTGAGCCTTAACTCTGGAGTTAACTCCAGGACTTAACTCTGGAGTCCTGCATCTCCCAAGTACTGTTTCTGTTGACTAAGAACACTAAATTCCTTGAAACAGGAATAGCCCAAGCCCTGATTCAGGCAAGCACTAAAACACTTTATTCTCTGATTTCAAGAGAGAAGGACTTGGAGGAAAAGCCTGTGAGGTTCTGCTGTGCTGACTCAGGACTGCAAATATTGATTTTAAATTCCCACAACAACAAGCAAACGAGCCAGGAAGTTCTAATAAGTCCCCACTCCTGAGCTAAGCACAAAGGACCACATGGCCAGTCTGAGACAGGTGGGGAACACTCAATTAGTGCTTCCCAGAGTCAAACAGGTTGGAAAAGATCTGGAAAAGATCCCAACACCACTCGGTGCCACATCCAGTCTTTCCTTAAACACCTCCAGGGATGTTGATTCCACCTCCCTGGGCAGCCCCTTCCAATGCCCAGTCACTCCTTCTGTGCAGAACTTCTTCCCAATGTCCAGCCTAAACCTCCCCTGGCACAGCTTAAAACCGTGCCCATCTGAGATCCCACCTGTGCAGGGACAGTCATTCCTTTAAGGAAATAACTTAGAAATCCTTCTGCCTTTTGGCAAGCCTGCCCCCAGGTAAGAGGAGGAACTCCAGTCACTTGGCTGAAGGAAAAAAAATCCTTTGGAATGTCGGTGTGGAAAGCAGTGAAATTTTGGGGGTGTGTCTTTTGCTGGCTCTTGGTGTGGAAAGCAGTGAAATTTGGGAGTCTCTTTTGCTGCTGGCTGCCAGAGCGTCACCTTACCTCCGTCCAGGAGGAACGGAGAACCGCTCCCACCGGGACCAATGCCACTGCCACTGCCACTCCAGGGGCCACCTGCGAGCGGGTGCTGCTCAGGGATGTGGCTGGCACCTAGAGGAAGGTGGACGGAACGTGAGGGGAGGTCATCGGCACCAACACAAAAAAAAATAAGAAATAAAAATAAAGGAAAAAAATAAGGAAAAAGTTGAGTGTGGTAAGAGTTGCTGGAA